CACTGAATCCTCAGCTGTCCGTTCCTGGCTGGCCAGGAGTCGGTTCCGAAGGACACGTGGGGCTGCCAAAATCATCCAACGTGGCTGGAGGAGATGGAAGGTGAGGGTGTGGGGACAGGGAAGCACAGAACTCAGTCACCGAGGCTTTTTTTTTTAGAAGGAATCTCCCTTTTGGTAGTTACTACTCTGCCTCAACTAACTACAAAAGCAGCACTGTCAGTGCTCCATTAAACTGTGCAAGATGCCAGTCCTGCACAGCTGCTTCTATTCTGCAGCATAAACCCATTCCTTACCTTCATGGGAATGCCCCAAAGGGTCTGCTGCCCTTTCAGATTCCCCCCTTTTCAGACTCTTTAAATTCTGCTCAAGGTGTCTGAGAACCTCGTTGAATATTGTTCCTTCTCTTCACCAGGCAAAAATGGCCACGTTGGCAGCGGCAGAACTGGATGAGGGGGAAGGGAAGGAGTTCCCAGCTCCTGGAGCCACGGTGATCCCGGCCAAACTGCCTTGTTCCTTGGACACAGCGTGGCCTGTGCAGGCCATTGTCCAGTTCTGGCCCCTGGGCCTTGTCCTGGCTGCTGCCCCCGTCACGGCCACGGGGCCCCGCAGGGACCTGGCGCTGCTGGGCTGGCTCAGGGGGCTCCAGGACAGCGGCTGCTCCAGGCTGGAGAGCCCTTCCCTGGGCTGTGGCATCGCTTCCATCAGAGCTCTCCCACAGGTAACCACCTCACGGACCCCAGTCAGCACAGGGAGGGTGCCAGGAGTTCAGGAATAGTCCTGGATACTGTCTCCTACCAACAAGCCCCAGCCACTGGCTGCCCTCAGAAACTGCACCTTGTTACAAATCACTTTGGTGGCTTTTTTGGTAACTTTTCTGAGGTTGCATAAAATTCTGGGTGCAAGAACTGGTCACAGCTACTGCAAGTAGGCAGAAGCAGTAGCAAGTTCAGCACTAAATACTCCAATCTCCAGAGTTTAAGCTAATTCCAGTTCAAATTACAGTATTGGTACTCACTTCTCTTAAATCCATTTGTACTAAAACTCCTTTGGAGGTCCTCTTCTATCCTCACAGTCACTAGTTATTCATAGATACTAAGCATGAACAACAAAATCACCTCAAAAGCTGGCCAACCCCCCAGCTGACCTCTCCACCTCTTTTCCTTGCAGGGCTCTGTCAGGTTCCACTGCAGGAGGTCCCCCCTTCACTATTCCAACGTCAGCCCCCACAGGGATTCCTGTTCCATCACGGGATTCAACCAGATTCTGCTGGACAGAAAGGAACTCCTGCCCACATAGGCCTGGCCCCTGCACACCTCTGCCTTCAGGGAAGGGCTCTCTGCAAGCTGCTGCTTTCAAATCACTCAACGTCCACATCTGCTGCTACCTCAGAGCTTCCACCTCGATGCCTTGTATGTAAAATGCAATGTAATGTAATACAGGTCAAATTTGGGGGGTGTGGGGGCCATTCCTCCACACAGGCACATGTTACAGGAAATATCAGCACTATGAAAACAATCAGTTAAACCAGATCAGGTGCTTTAAGCAATAAATACTTGAACTGGACGCTGCTGGCACTACCTGGAGAAGCAAGAGGCTGGTCATGAGAGAGCAAACAATGCAAATATTCCTGATTCCTGCTGGGTTCTCAGAGGTACAACCCTCCTGACTGACCACCAGTGTTCCCCAACACTGGCACGCTTCTGACTGAGCGAGGGAGGGAGGAGCAGCCAACATAACACTAAGGGCAGATGTCTCAGGGAAAAGCAAGACTGGGCTCTTGCTTTTTTCTCTCTATGACCAAAATATATGAGCTCTCACAGCTGCCAGGCGTTTCCAGAGCTCCCCAAACAGCACCACCCTGCCCACAGTCTCATCAGAGGTGCTCTGTGCCGTCCTTTTCTTGCTCATGGGTCTCGAAAATGTTCAGCTCCTCTGTGTTATGTCATTTTAAATAAACTGCTCAATGCCTTGTCAAGGTGTCTGACCATCCCAAACAACGAACAAAAACATTTCAGAGTGTTTGTGGATTAAAATAAACGCAGATATATTTAATATTGTCGCTGTGAAGTAACATTTCCCACAGTTGCCAATATTTCTGGCAGGTCCACAGAGTGTCAGGTTCAACCCCTAGTCTCTAAAAATCTCTGTCAACTCCAAATTGAAATCAGGGCACTGACATCCAGGGGCAAAGTGACCAGACCCCGAGGAAAGAACACAGCTCTGCAGCACAAAACCTCAAGGAAAGGAAAACGTGCTCACTCGGGGAGGATGTTCTCCTTCTCGGGAGGCTCCACAATGCTCAGGCAGCAATCTGCAAACTCCACAAACAGGGGCTCCTGCATGAACTTCCTCATGAGGGAGCTTTTGTCTTCTGCCTGGTCGAGGGTGAGGAGCAGCTGCCGGAGGTGTGGGTTCAGCAGCAAACCCCTCAGTTCTTCTGATTCCCCTTTAAAAAGAAAAAAAGGATAAGCAGTAGTAATCTCAAAGGGTTACAAACAAAGTTAAGACTTTCCTTATTTTGCACGTAAACTTTCAAAGAGACTGGTGAAAGGCCAAATATCTGATATTTAACTCTTTAAGGCCTTGCAACGAGCTGCACGACTGGGAGCAGCTCCAAGCAGAACTCCTGGGAATGGGGAGTATTTCTGCTAAAGCCCCACCATCTCGGCACCCGGCTGACTCCCGAATTCCCAAACTCACCTAAAAGCTTGAGTTTCTGCAGCGGGACGCGGTCCTGCTCATCCTCCTCGCCCAGGATGTCCTCCAGGGACCAGGGGCCGTGTGCGGGGCTCGGCGGGGCCGCGGGGGGACCCTGTTCCCTGCCCCGCTCCCTGTCCCGCTCCTGGCTGGAATGCGGCGCGCAGCGCTCTGCGGACACACAGCGGGTCAGCCCCAGGGCAGCCCCGGCCCCGCCCGGCCCCTCCCGGCCCGTACTCACCGCGGTGGGTCCGGCAGCACCGCACGGAGCAGCTGCGGGAGAGACAACGGAGCGTGAGGGGCCGGGGGGGGGCCCGCACCGGCACAGAGCCCGCCGGGCCCTCACCGCGCCCTCAGACCCGCCGGGCCCTGCCCCGCTCGCTCACTATGTGCTGGCACAGCGCGGACAGCGGTCCCGGCCCGTGTCCCGCTCCCTCAGCCCTGTCCCCTCGCTCACTATGTGCTGGCACAGCGCGGACAGCGGTACCGGCCCGTGTCCGTGTCCCCGCACTCCCCGCACGGACCCGGTGCCCTCATGGCCGCCCCTCGCGCGCCGCCGAGCGCCGAGCGCATCGCCCCAGGCTCGCTAATCCACCGCCGAGCGCGTCCCCCCAGGCTCACTAACCCACCGCCGAGCGCATCGCCCCAGGGTCGCTAATCCAGCGCCGAGCGCATCCCTCCAGGCTCGCTAATCCAGCGCCGAGCGCGACCCCGCCCGTCCCGGGAATCGGGAGTATATAGAAATAGAGATGGAAAATGTGGATGTCTAGAGATATCAGTAGATATATATAGAGATAGAGATATCTAGAGAGATACAGAGAGATAGAGAGATCTATAGATATATATAGAAAATCTATAGATATATATAGGTGTCTACAGATATATAGAGAGAGATTAGGTATTTATATAGATTTCTATATTATATAGAAATAGAGATGGAAAAAGGTGGACGGATAGAGATATCTATAGATATCTATAGATGGAGATATCTATGGATATATAGAGATATCTATAGATACATATAGAGAGAGTGAAAGAGAGAGATTAGATAGATGTACAGATATATAGAGATATGAGAAACAGAGAGATATAGATATATATACAGATATATATAGAGATATAGATATAGAGAGTTACTGATAAGATATCCTGACCCTCTGGAGGGCTCTGGCAGGATCCCAGCCATCCCCTTGGCTTTCCCAGTGACAATCACTGCCGTGGGCTGTGACACATCAAGTGTTCTGCTCCTGACCTGTCACCTTCCCAATGTCAATATGGACATGGATAAAAAAATTACACCATATAGCAAATATCCCATCAAAAACCGCCCCGGGTTGATCTTCACCATCTGCCCTGTGGGAAGTTTTGGTTGAACCTCCTGTTGTTAAGTTGAGGGTGAAATACAGATATTCAGGTTCCAGCCAGACCCTTCTTGGGGCTGGGGGTGGTGGAGTTCCCAGCAATCCCTGACAGAACAGCAGTGCTCCAAAATAAAACAAAAAACGATGGAGAAAAGAAATTATCTTGCCTGAGTTACATCATCCATTTAAATAATTCATTTCAATTCTGTGTCACTTAGGGCCATCCATTTCCTTAAATATCTGAATTTCAATTCAGACAAAAGAAATATCCCTGGAGTTCTTCGATGTGAAGCAGCACAGGAGAGGGGTTTGTCAGCAATAAAGGGAACCACTGAGTATCAGATTTGTTAATGTGATGGCACTTCCCAGTTCTTACATTAGTGGGTGAGCCCATTTCTTACCCAAAACATCTCTTTTCTCATACCTGGCCAGGATCAGAGCAATGGGATTTTCCCTCAGTTCAATCAAACCTTTTGAACTGGGGAAAGAACAACAACAACAACAAAGCAAAGAAACTGGAAATAAATCCCTGGAAACTCCAATCTGTGCTGGAAGGGCTGATTTGGGTTGGATTGTGCATGTGAGGAACATGAGAACATCATCACTGGGTGGATTATTGATGCCACTTTATTGGTGTACCTTGATGAAACACCACAGAGCAGCATCTGAGAGCACTTTAAAACCAGCAAGGTGGGCTGATGTCACCAGGTCTGTTAAAACCAGGCTTCTGGTTGGGGCAAGAGAAAATAAACCCGTCTTGGTTCAGGCAAGAGATCAGAAATTTGAACTCTGAGATTCTTCTAGAACATATCCCTGTGTAACTAAGAATAAACATCCACCTCCACTAGGATCTGATGAAACAATATCTACTAAATAAATATTCAGGAGCCAATTTTTTTTTTGAGAGAGAGGGAGTAAGACCTTTTCTTTTTACAAAATACTTGGTCTTGACGTTTTTATTTTGTTTTGTACAGGCAACTCGACTTCAGTTCTAATCCTGAAGGATCCAGCCAAGGTTGTCACCTGGAACAGCCCAAATTTCACAAGCCATGGACTCGAGTGTGCCTCTATAAGCAGAAATATGAAAGATGTAGCCACAAATGTCTCACAAAAACATGTAATCCAGCTACACACTGCCGTTAAAAATTACCCCAGGAAAACAGGGCTGAGTGCCCTGTTAATAAAGATTCATCCAACAGTCAAAGAGACAATTTGACTGAGTGTAAATGAGAAAGTAAAATGACAATTTCCCCCAGACTGCTGAGAATTTTCCAGCCGTTTAACTGCCTTCAAAGCCATACAAACCACACAACAGGGACGGGAGCCTGGGCAGCGAAGCGAGCGCAGCAGCAGCACAAAGTAAACAGGGCTAATGGAGTTATTTTTATCCCCGAGGAAAACAGCTCCCCTGCTCCCAGCTGGAGGCAACACAGACCAGGGGCACACACTGAGCCTCTTCTCCAGGGAGAGCCAGGCAGCACAGCTCCTCGCTGCTGAGGGGAGACACAGAGCCCAGCCCCCTGTTCAGGGCTGCCCGTGCTGGTTTCTGCACCCCAACACCTCCCCCTTGCTGGGTGCTGAAGCACCCGGGCCTCAGGAATGGAATCACAGGAATCAAAGTCGGAAAAGACCTCTAAAGACCAAGCCCAACCATCATCCCACCACTAAACCGTGCCCCCCAAGTGCCACATCCACGCGTTTTTTGAATCCCCCTGGATGTGGAGTGATGGCAGAGCTCTCCCCGGCTCCGCTGGGCAGGTCTGGCACACCGTGGGTGCCGCAGCAGGGGCAGCCCTGCCTAGATGTGCTCGATGGCACAGGCTCGGACGCGGTTGGTGGAGAGGCACTTGAGAGCCTTGAGCTTGGCCCCCAGGGTTTTGAGCTTGAGGGTGTAGATGAGGGGGTTGCCCAGGCAGTTGATGGTGATCAGCATGGCCGTGCAGTTCCTGAAGATGTAGACGCCCGGGTAGAGGTCGACGTGGCACCGGTGGTTGGTGGCGTCGAAAATGACCCCGGCGAAGAACGGGGCGTAGGAGATCAGCGCCAGCAGCCAGATGAAGATGCTGGTCCTGGCCACCTGGGTCTCAGCCGATTTGTAGGTGCCGGTGGCTTGCCCACACGCCTTCATCCTCAGCTTCCTCCTCCTCAGGATGATGATGATCCTGAGGTAGGTGAACAGGGGTATGATGAAGGCCACCACGAAGTTGGGGACGGCGATGAAGAAGAGGTAGTTGACGCAGAACGGGCTGTAGAGGACCGAGACGCTCTCTTCCCTGTGCAGGCAGTTCCACCCCATCAGTGGCAAGCAGCCCAGGAAGAAAGCAAGGACCCAGTTGGTGAAAACCACGCCTATGGAGTGGTTTCTGGCAACCCTGAATCTCGTCCTCATGCTCTTGGCCACAGCCAGGTACCGCTCGACCCCGATGCTCACCAGGTTGTAGATGGTGGATAAAATGGACGTGGTGTACAAGGCGTAAGGGGCGAGCATGTCCTCGGACCCAAAGATGGTGATGTCGGGGTTGGTGATGAACAGCGTGGAAATCCAAAAGCCAGAGAAGCTGGTGAAGAGGTCAGAAACGGCCAAATTGCAGAAGAGGATGGAGATGGGCTTGTGCAGGTCCTTGGTGGCCAGGCGGGTGAGGATGACGGTGCAGTTGAAGAGCACGGACGCCACGTTGATGGTCAGCTGGGGGATGCCCAGGGCAAGCACCAAAGAATGACTCCAGATGTTCGTGTAGTTAGCAGAGCAGTTTGGGAATCCATTCATGGTGGAAAATCCTTCTTTCAGCCCTCAACCAGGTCGGCTTTACTCATCCCATACTCCGTGAGAGACCACACCACACGAGAGCTGCTGCCACCTTGTTCTGCAGGTGGGGAATGGGTCCTGACGTGCAGCTTCTGTTGCCACATCATCATCATCATGACAGTGGATTAAACTTTAACCACGTGTGGTGTTAAATATTTGGGTTACCACCTCAGGGCATCGTCAATTGCCGTTTAGTTGCTAGGACAGCCCAAACTGGAAAACATATTTGTTGCTACACGGATGAGCTGCTGAAAACAACCTCTGCCAGCAGCGAAATCTGGCCAGATCTTGAGAGGATGAATGATCACAGCAGTAGTTTAAAATTCTCTAAGGATAGTCTAAAATGGAATTAATGTGAATTCAGCTTTAACTCACCAATAAAGTAGATGATAAAGGATTAGAGAGCCGGGAAACGGAGAGCAGAATTTTGTGGGTTTGGAGGGGAGAGTGTGTGGCTGATGGAGCTGAAATAAGAACATCAGTGTTGTGTCACCAACCTGGCCCCCAGCTCCTGCCTAAACAGTTAGGAAAATGCCTTTTTTCCACCTTAATTCCTGGATGAGAATGTAGCTAAACAACAGCAGACATCACTCCTCATGCTCATTATAGGATATTTTGTGTTTATTTAACGTGTGACTTGCACATTAATAAACCAACACCAATATCATTATATCTTTTCTTTCTCTATCTTTGTAAAGGCAAATGATTTTTGAGAACTGGATTTAAAATATTTGAGCCTTGGAGAAAAAAGCCTTTGGGACACACATTCCGTGCTCTCAGCAGAGGGCACTGCTGGAACAAAATACAAGGTTCAGTGGGAACAGGGAGATTTTAACCAGCAGAGCAGTTCAGGTGAGCAGTACAATTACCCAGGTAAAGCCATGTTATGTCCGAATTTATTCTGATTTAATTCATTTCTCACTGTTATCCTAGCAAAAAATTAATTTCCATTAGTAACAATTTTATACTGTGATGCTGCCAAGCAGCTCAGCTGAGTTCATGGGCTTTCCACATTCAGCACTGACATCTGATCATTGCAGCAGCAATTCCAGCTCTAGAGCAGGAAATCCGTGAGCTCTGATAGCTCTGCCAAATTTACAACATCAGAAATTCAGGCTAAAATGTGGAGCTCGAAAAGGAAAATTCTAGGGCTTCTTTTTTCCTATTGAAATGTATGAAAGTGTATTCAGGTTGGTGTGCAATTAGTACACAATAATTATGTACTAGAAATACTTTAAGTATTTTAGGTGGTCACATAGAAATGCAAAGGATGATTGTATAGAAATAAAGGGCTGCAAAATGATGGATCAAGCCTGTGGATGCCTTAAGATCCTATAAAATATCCTTCTCCCAGTGTCCCAGATAAACCATCCTTTGTGCATCCTGGAACCCTCCCTGTCAGCCACACCTCTGGTGTGAGGTTGCTGCTGAACAAGGGCTCCACTATTTCTGTCACCTCATCAGTGCCAACACCTCGAGTCAGCAAATCCTTTCAATAATCTGAAATGCTGCAGATATTCCTGAAAATGCTACTTGACATTGCTCTAATTTGAAAATTTGGCATTCGAGCACTGAGCACTAAACGAAATGAGATCGGAATGTAATTAAAATAATATCAAGTAGTATAAACAGCTCTTCACAAAAGCTTTGTAATCTTATTTCCCTAATAGAATTACATAAAAATTAGCATAATGTTGCTAGATTAAGGGAGACAATATTAGTGTGGAAACTGCTTTTTTTAGTGGGCTTTAACATACAGAAACCCCCAGGTTTGTGCATTCCAACCCTCTGGGATGCAGCTGGAGCTCTCAAAACCAGATGAAAACTACTTTGAGTTGAAAACTCAGAGACGGAGCTGCTACACATCCAAACCTCTGCACATCACAGCCTCGGTTCAAGGGCATTTTTCTCCTCCCATATTCCAGGAACTGTGTGATTTTCCTTGTATTTACCTCACTCTACGTCTGCAAGGAAAGACTGTTATCTACATCCCATAAACGGGAAAAGAGCAATCACATTATTTGTTTAAGATCCCTCAGAAGTTCAGAGAACCCAATCTAATCTCCAGTATCTCGGGCTGACACCTCAAACACTGGCTGTACCATGCTGTTGGCAGCCTTTGATTTATAATTATCTAGACCTCGCCTTCTACAATGTTTTTTAGTTCTAGAATTGTTTTTCTTTTAGTTCTGTGATTGGTTTTACATTTCTTTATCAGAATGGTGTTATTTTGATACGTCATGTGTTAAGAAATGGCCTTATTTTGTAGAGAATCTCCAAGATCAATAATAATTACCTGATGATTGTGCCTGTGGAGAAGAAAATAACCACTGAACACATTGAAGAGATGGAGAAGAGACATGAGAAGCTTCAGGTGGAAGTTTTAATGATGGTTCAAGTGGCTGTTGTGGAAAATGCACCTTCACTCCCCTGAGTTCACAGTCTCAGAACTGCCCACAACTGCAGCTCTCAGGGATTCTCAAGGGCTCAGGACAACAGGCCCCAGCTGGGACATTCCCAAGTTAATCTTAAAACAGGAAATTTGGTCCAGGAGCCGAGTCCCAGCTCTGCTCAGTAACCCTTGGACAACAGACACCCTTATCTTGGTGTGATGCAGAGCAACCTTTGTGCTGAGAGCACTTTGAGGAACCAAGTTATGTCTGAAACTACAGGAGAAAAAGCTGCATCCACATGATGAAAACAAGAATCCCACAGCACAGGGAGCAGAAGGGGAGCTGCAGGTGGTTTGGTGTCACCTGCAAGGCCATGGACACACATTATACACACAGGAAAAACCAGGCACTGGGAGGATGAGGGAATCCACTGTCCTGGTTTCTTCCCTGTCACATTCTCCCTGAACTCACAGTCAATTCCTCCTCGTTCCTGACACTCCAGCTCTGCACTTTCACAACAGACAAGACCTTACCTGAGCCAAAAAATGGCCAGTGCCACCCAGCTCAGCTGAGCATGGAGGCAGAGTCACTCCATGGATCCAGGGTTCACTGCCATGACCTTCAGAGTGACCAGAATATCCACCTGCTCACTCTCTCAGTGGCCATCACGGGACCTGCAAAGAAGAAACAGTCACGAAGGGGAGTAATACAAAGAAGGAGCCTATTTATCCAGTTTATGTTTCAATTTATGCAGATTAAAGTCTTCCTTTCTGGAGAGGAAGGCACAAATGGGATGTGTGATCTCCTTCCAAGATTTTTCTGAGATGTTTGGAAAACAGAGAGCTCTGGTCCTCCCCCACCCTCTCTCTTTGAGGAGTTTTTGCCTCACGGGTTTGGAGTTACCCAATGTCCCAGCTCTTTTTCCACGGCCCTCACCAGGCACATGAAGCAAAGAAAATCATCAGGCTTGAAGTCTCTGAGTGCTGTTCAGCAGCAGGTTACCAACAAGCCACAAAATATTGGCAAGGTTGGTTTGTTGCAAGGATAACTCCCCACACCAGACCCTTTGCCCCTTTATCCAGAGCCAGAACGTCTCTCTGAGATGCCACAACTGGTATTTGCACCTTTTGGGAACTTGCATTGTCCTGTCTAAAAGGAAACAAACAGGAATAAATACCTAAAACCAGGTGTATGGCAGGCAAAGCCTTCCACTGATAACTTAAGACGTGAAGAAGCCAGGAAACATCTTATCCCTGCTCCTGAGTATTCCATGGAAACGACCTTGTGCTTGTTCCCAGCGGAGCAGACTCGGGGAGGATCAGAGCCAGCCCACGTTCCTCGTGGAAGATGAAGGCCTAATGACTGTGATTCACCAAGAGCTGTGAAATCCCAGATTTCCTGTTCAGTGGTGAGGGAACTGTAAAGAATAAAATGGCAACACACAAGTAAATGAAGAGCACTCAATATGTTTTCTCACACACAGGGTGGGGTTCCCAATCACGAAACTCATCTGGGTTTGAAGTCTCTTGGAAGTGCTTCCCTCTCCCATGGCAGGGGCGATTCCTCCTGGGTCATTTGTGACCAGGATTTGGCCCCGGGCCAGTCTGACCCTCACAACCCTTAGATCTTCCTTCTAAGAGCACCAGCTCAGCCTCCAGCCCAAAGAGCTGAGCCACAGCCTGGGCTTTGGGTCTCTGATGCCTTTGTGGCACGGATTCAGCCCCTGCCAGCCCTCATCCCTTCTGCTGGGATGTGGAATGCTGGGGACAGCTCTGGCCTCCCGCCCCTCAGCACTTTGGTGGGATCCTGTGGCTCAGACTCGTGAAAGCCTCATGAACCACCACACCCCCCCCTAAACTTCCCTTGGGAGCAGCAGGATGATGTCAGACCTCACACATTCCAGAAACCAGGCTAGGGGAACATCTCCAAAACCTTTGTTGCTGTGGCTCTCGAGGCAACAAAATAAATGCAGTTTTCACTGGTTTTGGTGTTCCCACCTCCCCTGTAGCTATGAACACAACCACAATAATTCTGCCAGGAAAAACCAGCCTGGAGTTCAGTGATCTGCTGTCACCTCCCTGCTTAACTTTGAGTCTCACCTTCTCTGACCAAGATCCTCACATGTCTTTAGGTTCAATGTCCAAAACCCACCCACAGAGAAATTCCTTTCCAAATTATCCCAAGGTGCAGCGCTGCCATGGAGAACTGATAACCAAGCACCTGCCAGGTGAGTTTCTTTAGAAAAAAATAAGGAGATCACATGATGTCTGCCCTGCTTATTTCGATTACAGGCTCTATAAGGAGAGGGAATGTCTTTCCCTGAGTGTGCCTTCACTTTCTAGCACAAATAAAAGCTTGGTTGATATGACTGCAGTGCAATTTATTATCACTGTAAGAGTGATAGGCTGAAAGGCTTGGGGGGAAAAAAAAAGGAAAAAAAAAAGGAAAAAGAAAGGGAAAAAAAAAGGAAAAAGAAAGGGAAAAAAAAGAAGCAAACCAAGAATCCTGATTTTTAAGATCAAAGTTTCTAACCCTATTTTCAGTCCTGAACAGAGAGTTTCTAGCGGGCTTTTAGCTCTCAGAGAATTAACAGCAAGAGTGAAAAAAATCCATGAGAGTGTCGTTTCGGGTCGCCACTGAGGACCATCCCCAGGAGTGAAGTGTCTCGTGGATGCCCTTGAGGGCTGACAGCACCTGACCCCTCCCTGCCCTACGTGCTCAGAACGCACCTTGCTCCCGGAGCTCCGCCGGGACCGCGCTGCTCGGAAGCGAAAAAATGCCACTAATTCCCTTATTGTTCTTGTCACTGCAGCAACTATTTATCTTATCACCATGTGCTAGGCAAATCATCCTCTGTGCAGGCTCTAACTGCCTAGAGCAGGATGGAAAAACACTCCCCAGCAGCTCTTCATTGTTGGGGGGTTATTTATAGCTATTTTTTTTATGAATAAAAGAGCTGCTCGTGAGTCAGCTGTGCCGGTGTTATTGCAGGTCCCGAGCCCGTGCGACCCTTCTGCTGATTGCACAGCCTTGCCCTGGGAGCTGCAGCTCTTGGGGAAGGCAAAAAGCACTTTCTTGGCTCCTGGTGTTTTGATTCAGCCCTCGCTGGATGACTCTGCATGCTCAGATCTGCTGGCACAGCATCGCTTCGCTCCATCCACCCCTTCAGGGAGAAGCTCCGGGTCGGGCATCCTGCTCTTCTCCCACCCAACCCTGCGTGGACAGAGAAGCATCTGGGGAAGGGGAAGGAGTTGTTTCACTCCCTCATTTGTTTTCCTCGGCTGTATCAAAATCCAAACCCAAATTAAAAGGTGACACAGTGTCTATAACAGAGCAAAAAGTGGTTGTGTCGCTTTTCTGTTTGTTGAACGAACAGTCTGAGCTGCCACTGAATCAGGCACATGGAATTAAAAAAATCAGATAAGAAAGGGGGCAGAAAAAAAGTCTGTATATATTATACTATAGTAGCAGAAGCAGAAAGTTAAGAAAAAGGATTATTAAAAAAAGTGCCATTCCTTAATCACGTAAGTAAGGTGTTGCATGTCACCTAATAAACATTTCCTGTCACTGCACACAGAATTCCCATTTTCCGGTCCCTCTAATCTACTGCAATCCTGAGGAGCTGTTTGCAGGGTTGTGGGGTAGGGATGGGGGCAGTTGGGACTTTGTTTCATAGGGTTTTTTTTAAGAAAACACCAACCTTAACCCACATATTAATCAAACGTCCTGGGGGCTGTCAGGAAAAAAACTACCACGAAATAAAAACGTAGCATTTCAGCAAGAGGTCACTGAACATGCACAGGTTGCAAAGTCTCAGTTATTCACTACAGGCTCAGTGCCAAAGAGCCTCATTCCCTTTGCCATTCATTTGGGAGAATGAATAAATTCAGGCAAATCAGGAGCGGGGTAAATCTGGAGAAATTACAAAGGGGAGGAGTTCACCTTCCTGCTATGGCTTTCAGGTCTGTCCTGGAGTACTTACTCCAGTATAAAACTGAGAGCAGAAATATGATCACATCCTGAGGAGTCTAATCAATTCTGGTTCCAACACTGAGCCTGTTTAAAACAGAGGATGGAATTGCTGGTCCTTGCTCTGTTCTCTCTGCACATTCTCCAGACAGAGGCAGTAGGTAAGTCCTTGCCTGCTCTTTCTAACCCCTTGTTAAGGTTACTCTGATTCCTGATTCGTTTCTGAGTGTCAGGACACACAGCACAGGCTCTCTGATTCTTCCATATGGTAAATGAACAATGATTTATTTATTTCTCTGCGTTTTATTATTTGGGGTAAAATATCAAGTATAGGCTTTTCTCATGAATGAATGAGTGCTTTTGGGTTGGGTTGGGTTATTTTTTTCACCTTTAGAGATTCTATCTGCCTTCCTCTTCCAAGGAAAATCAATGAGGTTTGACTTGATCCTTACAGTTAATTATACATGTGCATTTATATCAAAACATAATTTCTTTACCTGTAAAACTCCTTAAAACTTAAAGCAAACAGCTTGTTTTAGTTTTCCACTCCTATTGTTTATGATATAAGGTGAAATTTTGCTGAGAGTGAGTGGACAATATGTCTTTGCTGCATCAGCCCAGCAGCCCCATCTATTTTTGCTCCCTGGGCACCATAAGTACACTGAGCACTTACCATGGCTCGATTAAACAGCCATCTATAATTAGGATTGAAAGATGCAGAAGGCATTTTTAATCTATTTAATCAGCGACCCTGCAACATTGAATAAATCCCCTTTCCTATGCACACACAGGCACACAGCCTCAAAATTAAACCCTGCAGCTCTTCAAAGCAAAGAAGGGTCTATTGTTTGCACTAAACTAGACCAGAGTGCAGTGAGGGAAAGAGAGCTCTGGTGTTATCAGAGGTGTCAGGGGGAAGCACTAAGGGAGCTAAAGGGAGATGGTTTTAAAGCAGATCAAAGTTCAGAGACTTCAGGTAACAGAAGTGCACAAAGTGCCTTAAGGAGCCCAGTCTGAGCACTGGGGAAACTCAGGGGCTTTCCCTGATTTTACTTCTCTGTCCTTAATCAATTCTCCAGGACTCAGGAACTTGCCTTTTCCAGGCTCTTACCTGAGAGTCCCGATACCTTCCCTCTCCTTTAGTCCCTATTTTCTGGGTGTTCTGTGCTCTCTCCAGAGGTTTCCACCCCTGGTACAGGTAAACACAAACACAAAGAGCCTTTGCTTTTCCAAAGTCTACAATGAGTGTTTGCCTGCTATTGATCACTGACTGATTAACACTTTGCTAAATTTGCTGCTCTATTAAGGGATGTATTATGGAGACTTGAATGACTATCTAGAAAACCTTTGTGACTTTATTAGATTAGTGTTAATAATTAGTGCTTTAGCAGATGGAACTAATATAGGGGATGCATATAACATTTTGTGGGTGGTTTTTTGCCCTAATCCTGATTAATTTCACTATTTTCCCCAAGTGTAGAGCCAAACTTAGCACAAAAGGAACCTGCTATCCCCTCCACCTTCTTTTCCAAACTTCTCCTGAAGTGGAAGCTTCACAGGATACATTATGCTAAGTTAAAGGCTGCACATTTCAAGAAACCTCAACTTCTGAGAAAAAATTACTTCTTGTTATACTCAGAAGGTATCTTTTTTAAAAAAAATCAAGCATTTCCTTTCCATCTTGCCTCTTTTCAGAACCAGCTTGAGTGAGATCCCCTGACCAGCTCATTTAACCCACCTCCACCTGAGCTGTTCTAATCTGGGCAGTTCATCACTCCCCACACTTAAACACTCAAATGACTGATTGCTAATCTTTCAAATTGCTTTCAGCCTTGACCTGTCTTAATATCAAAGCACCTGGCTTTTAAAATTACTACTAATAGCCCTTCCAGGGTTTTGTTAAGGAAGGAAAGTTCGTTATCCCCATTCTACAAGAGGGAAACTGGGGCACAAAGGTGCACTCACCTCACCTGGAAGAGAAACCCTCTCAAGGCTCTGTCCAGCCTCTCATCCACTGACTTATACAGGTCTCAGTATATTCCTTTATCAGCTGCACTGATGCACCTCAGGTGGCTGGTTTGATTCCTTTGAGAGTCCAGGGATCTGGTGCTGCTGTTGGGCAGAAGAGAGGCCAAAGGTCTGCAAATTCCAGCAGGAACATTCCCAATATTTAAGAGAGGTTTTATTAACAGTGGATTCACTCCAGGACCATTCAGAGAGCAGGAATATCCATCCATCCAGCAGCTTTCAGGTGGGGTTAGAGCAAGCTCCAGGTGTCACTGAAAATAATTTTCTTTAAGAGGAATGGAATGAACCCCAGCACATTTTAACCTTTTGCTTTATCACAGAGCAGGGCTCAGCCATGAGGAGACAATCTCCCACAGTCCATGCTCTGCTGCTCCAACAGATCGTTGCCTGATAGAACATGATTCCTCTAATTTTCTATATTTCTGCTCACATACTTTTAACTTTGAGGAACATAAAATTTACATAACCATGCGGACATTGACGTCAGCTCTCACTCTGGGGCTTCCTCAGGGCCATTCACCTTCAAAAGATACCCAAAAGCCCCGTGAACAACACAAAAAGAGATGCTGTAACTTCTTCCCTTTCCAGTTCTAGTGGTGTGGACTGCACACACATTGATGGTTGCATCCCAAATCCGTTTGAGGGCTGGCAAAGTTGGGATGCTGGTGCACTCTGGGATGAAAAGCTGCATTTTCAGTTGATTAAGAAAGAAGAATAATAACAATAAGTGCAGTGTAAGACCTGGAACAGAGAGAAAAGGCAGTAAGTCATAGCTGCTTTAGGCAGTGATCCATAGGTGCTTTAGGAGGTATGGATTGCCTGAATTTCCCTCTCTCCACCACTCTAACCCAGCACATGAGTCAATATAGCTGACAAGCTATTATTGACATTATCCCAAAGTGGCTGCTCAACTATCTCAGTGCAGACAGGCTTCTGATCTCAAGGAAGGGTCTTTATGCTTTGGGCTTTCTTCTCTTCCTCCCTGGCAACTTTCAGGCTGCCAAAACAGATGCAAAGGTTTGTCTGAGGATTGTCATCATGGGCAGCTGCCCTGTGTGTGTTCATGTTTGTCAGGATGCTGGGGGTGCACTGAGATTTTGGGGGACAGAGAACCAAGCCCAGCAGGCAGAGAACAGCACTGGGTGTCACTGGCAGGATCCCAAAAAGCAGTTCTGAGACAGTATGAGAGTCAAATATGGGATTTCTCACATTTCTGCAGCCCGCCAGGTGTGACATCAAGATATATCTGTGTTGCACAACTGGGTGACTTTGTGTCAGACCAGGAGAGCCTTGAAGCCCTTCCCAGCAGTTTGCATGGGGTTGGGAAGGATGTGTGACCATCAATGTGTGTGCAGTCCACACCATTAGAACTGGAAAGGGAAGAAGTTACAGCATCTCTTTTTGTGCTGTTTATGGGGCTTTCGGGTATCTTTGGAAGGTGAAGGCCCTGAGGAAGCCCCAGAGTGAGAGCTGACGTCAGTGTCCGCATGGTTATGAAAATTTTATGTTCCTCAAAGTTAAAAGTATGTGAGCAGAAATATAGAAAATTAGAGGAATCATGTTCTATCAGGCAAAAAGATATGAGCTGTCTTGCTGTGATCCACATTCATCACAGATCCCGACCTGCCCTCAAAGAATTACCCATGGAAGGGTTTGAAGGCCACCTCTGCTGCCTCCCTCAGGAATGAATCCCACCCTGCCCTCACACACCAGGGTGAATCCTGCTCTGTTTGATCCATGCTGTGCCTAAGGCAACACATGGATATGAGGTGCCTCAATGGGCATCAAGGCTCTTGAGCAGGCAGGTTTTTTACTCAGCTGATGCATCCAAGGGCATCCCAGCTCCTCACTGTCCTCTCCCTTGCAGCCTGTTCCTGGTGACACATCAGGAATGGGCAGTTTTCCAGGGACGCAGCGGCCCCAGCCACGTTCCTAATGCTGCATTTAGGGATCAGCCTGAGGAGCAGGAGAACACTCCAGACTCATCAATTTGTGTGAACAGGCTGGAGCTGACCTCATGCAGAACTGCAATGTGCTGCATCACCTCCTCCCTCACCAGCATCCGAGATTCCAGGGCTCTGTCCTGCTGCCCTTCAGCTCTGGGGGAAGGACAGGAGTGTGGCAGAAGCTCCACACAGCAGCCACACCCAAGTGACAAGTGACATGACCCCAGCTTAAAAAATAAATACTCTCCTTTCTCCCACAGCAAAAATATCAGCAGAAGGACTGGAACATCCCTTTTCTGCTGCCAGTTGGGCATTGTGACTCTTAAAAAAACTGGAGTCGTGTTTTCTCCTGGCTCTTACACTGAGATCTTGAAGATTGGAATCAGAAAAGCATTTTCAGAGACAGGTGCTGCTGTGAGACACTTTTCTCTCAGCTGCCCAAATAACCGTGTTCAGGACATGCTGCAAAGTCCAGTGTCTGTCTCCACAGGAACAGGCTTTTTTTTCCCCCCTGTTTTTGGCACTGCAGGAGATGCTTTGTTATGTTGCAGAATATATCTAATGGCCTGTTATTAGATTTTTAGTTATATTTTTAGCCAGAAGATCAGTCATCATAAACTCAGCAGAAAAAAAACTGCAAAAGGACAGTAAAGCCACAAAGGGGTTTGTTGGAATTCGATTTTAAAAATACTTCAAAAAAAATCTGAATTGGATTTTTACGAAACAAAGCAAGGCAAAATCCCTCACAGAGGCAAATCACCTTAGCCCTGGATACTCCTTTTTTTGTTAAAGATCAGCTTCTGTCTCTGTACAGCACATTTATGAGGACACAGATCTATGACAGAGGCTACCCCAGTATCACAGGTCACAGCTAAAAACGTTCTCCTGGCTCTGACACAAAGGAAGCAGTTTGCAGATGTTAATAAGGCACAGTTAGAATCCTTCACTCTCTGGGTTTTTCCTTTGGTTTATGTGTGTTACAGAGACCTCACTGAGCCAGTGATTTATGGGTACATGTGATTTATGTGTACACGTGCAAACTATAAACACCGTGCTCAAATCAGATGTGGCGACTTGTAATGTTTCACCACTCCAATAAAGCTCATTTTCAAGGCTAAATCCCCTTGAAATACCTTGGGATGTACATGCATAAAGATGTACACCATTATGAAAACCAGAATTCCAGGTAAAAGTGAAGAGAAGAGCGATGGATGATGATAAACACACAAATTTAGGAGTAAGCACTTGGAACTGATTTTGTCTGTCAAAGTGGCTGATTGGGGCTTCCTGAGGATGTGTAACACTTAAGAATGTATAAATAGGCTTATCTATACATGCTGAGCTTGTGGTCAGCATTCTCACTAATTACAAAGACAGATAACAACTGCTTTTAAGTTGTTTTGTCTTTTGTCCTAAAAATAGTAAGTTTTACAAAGCCAGCTAAAATTAGGACGAGCTCAACACAAACTAAAGCTAAAAATACATCACGTGCAAAACCAGCTTTTGCCACTTCCATGGAAAAGGCTGCAAAGGTGACAGCAGATTTTGGGATGGATTTGAAAACTGGGGGTTATAGAGCAGTAAGGAGAGCTCTGGCACCGAGGGCAGCCTGGGCTCTCTGAAAGGGAGCAGTGCAGTGGGAGCACTGATCCCTGTGTCCCAGAGAACAGGGAATGGTCAGCCAGGACGTGGCTGAAAGGGTGACAAGAGGCTAGAGGGACAAACAAAGGAGTCAGTCAGTGAAAGGGAGAAGGGATTTGAACTAAAGAGCAGCACAGGATATTCTTGCTGTCCCACTACTTAGGGCTGCTCGAGGCATAAAAGTCATTTGTGCTTCAAGAGATTTAATCCAGTTAATAAAAATAGCCGTCAAATGTCAAATTCCTGACTTTCAGCCACTTTGTCAGAGGGACAAAACCTGTTTTAGTGAGCCTTTTGTGCAGGTGAACAAGTTAAGAGGGCATTTTGAGCCCCAAAAACACACCTGTCCCACGGCACTGACTCTGAGATCGGGCTCTGCGGGTCCAAGTAGGGCAGCAAACAGGCAACAAGTAGGACAAAGTAGATTTAGGAATTTTTACGGAATTCAGGCAATCTGAGCATGGTCCAAAGAGCTTAAGGGTCTTTTCCTAGATCACACAATAGCGGCTTGGCAGCTGCTCCCAGCCTGGCTCTCAGCCAGCAGCGCTGTCTGTCCGTCCGCCTGCCCGGCTGAACAGAAGAGGGAGTTCTCCACGGGGGGAATTTTCTGCCTCGAGCTTCCAAACGAGGCCTGATAGCTAAAACAATTGAAAACGTTTACAATGAAATGAAAACAATACGTAATTGTATTGTTTTCCAGCTCTTCCCGGTGCCAAGAAAACGGCTTTGGTCAGGAAACCAGTTGTAAGTTTGACAAGGAAGAAACAGAGATAAGTAGGATTGCTCGTTTGCCAGGAGAGACTCCCTAAATTTAACTGTCCTGAACTCTGGGGAGGAAGAGGAGGCCTTCAGCACAGTTCAGCCCTACTCTAAATTAAACCTGTAAAGTCAATGTGACACCTATGGTGTGGTACATCACTACTTAAATCAAGGATTCATAACGCAAGGTAAAAGCAAAATATAGTTGATAATACAGTAACTGTAGGTCCAGGTGTGTATATATCTATATCTATATCTATCTATATATCTATATATATATATCTCAATCACTGTAATTATTTCAGCACCTCAGCTATAAAAACAAAGAAACAGAAAAACATAAACACTGAAACACTGAAAGACCCAATTTCTGCTGCGTTTCTCCAGGCAACAAAATAAAGGACAGGAAAGAAACTGGGTGAGCTGAGGAGGTTTGATTGAAAGAGCAGTGAGGTGAGAGGAGAGCAGGGTGGGATCTGACAGGTACCCAGGCCCTGCAAGAAAGGGGGGTCAGAGGAAGAGGGATGAAGGATTTGGAAGTTGAAATGGTGGGAAGGTGAAGGCAACAGTTGCCAAGAGATGGGACAAAGGATGGATGAAGCAAGAACAGGAATTACAGATTAGAAGGGAACTACTTGAACACTGTAAACAGCAGGGAGGGAAAAGAATTGTTTAGGGTGGTTCAGTGATATTTCTAGGAGTGAAGGGATGCAGATAAGCAAGTGGAAAATCTAAGCTATTCCACAGGAAACATTTCCTGACGGTGAAGGCTCATAGACTGTGGAACAGCCTCCTAAGGGAAGTGGCAGGAGCCACTCAGACAATTAAGACCAGACTAGACAACATACCTTGGGGCCTAATCATGCCTAAGACCACAGACAACTGACTGGATGTGACAAGGATCTTTCCTTCTTGCTTCAGAAATAAAGCCCTAAAGCTCAGGGGAAAAAAAGAACTATTGTCAGGCAAGGTCCCCACACGTAGGGAGGAATCACACCTGACTCAGATAAAATCCAAAGGCAAATTTTCCTTGTAAGTGACACTGGGGAAGGTTCCTCCTGAGCAGTATCTACACAAAAGGTCCTGTTCTCCAATGTTCCATTGCTGCCAACCAAAAATGTATCTAATTCACAATAAACATTAATTCACTGTTTGCTCAGGCATTCGGGAATGTTTAATTAGGTCATTCTTTAAGGTTTAACATCTTTAAGGGCCTTTTTCTTATGAAATGCTGAATTTATATCCTGTTCTACTTCACTGATACCATCCACCTCTCTAAACCACAAATGAGATAAGGACTTGATAGAAAACACAGATCCTGTCTTTGTTCACAAACACCAGGAATTCACTGGAACCCTTGCAAAACTCAGGCACTAATTATTAGTTAGGATTCCACAGAAGAAGGGATGAACACTCCTGGGTCCTGGATTTGAGGCAGCTGTAGCCACCGAGAGCTGGATTTTTTAAATGTCATTTTATTTTTAAAATCTTCTTTCTCCCCTTCATCTTGGTGCCATGGCTGAAAGCCTTTCAGGGTGCTCAGAGTGTCAATCTACCCAGAAGTGATTGAGACCCACAGGTTTATTTGAGAGAACCTGCCAAGCACCTGCTCAGGCAGTAAAAAGTCAGTGATTGCTTTGTTTGACAAGGGTGGGATGTGCACTCAGAAGTAAAAGCCTCCATCACCCATTTCCACAGAACAGAGGTGCTGATTCAGAACCACTGACAACATGACCCCGTGACCTTTACCTTCCCTTTACCTTCCCTCGTTGTTTCCTGTGGTTGTCTTTGATTTTTGTGGTTCTACAGCCCTGGTTTAAAAGCTCCACAACCTTATCCCCAACCAACTGGCTGCACTTACCCCCAGTTCTGAATCCCACTGACTGGAAAATCCAATTTGCATCACAGTAGAGCTCTGATGTCTGAGCCCTGTGCAAGGCCCTGTGCAAACCCAGGAGTTTGGGGTAAACAGCCCAGGGTTCCTCACCTGACCTTGAGTTCTCATCTGTCTGCTTCAACTCACCTCCCAAAGGCTTTGAGAGCAAATCTTTGCAGGTGGCTGTCCTCTCATGCCCAGGTTATTCCCCTGCTTTCTTTCTCCTAAAGATTCACTCATGTATAAATTGCCAAGAAAATCCCAATCCTGATGTGCTGGTGAGGAACTGTTAAAGCCCAGGCTGAGCACTGAGCTGCCAAAAATATGCCTGGAGTGGTTCAGCCACGCAAACATTGACTCATGGAACACAACCAAGCATGTGAAGGTCTCCTTACCTGGTGTTCTTTGGGTATTTATTGATCAGAATATCGATTAAGGCACTTGGTGACATTCAGTGCCTGGAACTCCCTGTTCTGCCGTGTCCCTCTGGGATGAGCTCAGCTCGAGGTCAGGCCACTCTCTGGTGCACACAGGCCTGGAAAAATGCAACCAGCAAGTTTAGAAAGTGAAGTTTTGTGTACGATCAGAAGACTGTCAAAAAATAAAACCTTGTCAAAAGGGATTTTTTTGGATGATTAAAAAACATTAATGGAACAACAACACAGAAATCCCTTCGGCTCTTCCAACACAAACCAACAGTGCTGTTTACTTTTCCTCTCAGTGTTACTAAACACTTGCTAAACTAGAAAGTGAGTCAACATCATTTGTGGTTTTCAGCATCAATTTAGTTTCTGTGAAAGAAAAGCTGGAACTCTCATTTTTTCAGGGTTATATTAATTGCCACAAGCTTGTCCAAGTCTCCCTCTGGGTTATAGTTACCCACGTTTTATGTCAAGGCTCTGTTTATAACTTTTAAATCCTTAATGGATGGATGTATTGCTCTGCTACTGATATGAAGAAAAAGGTGGTAAAAGCCACTATGAGCCTTCCAGCAGGTGTGTTATAAATTACAAATTCTGGTAATTACCAATCTAATGACAGGACCTCTCCATAATGATCCTTAAAATTGATTTGCCATTTCCTAAAATGTCTATAATTTACTAATTATGAGAAAACAGAAGCTCTAGTATTAATCATGATTATAACAGGTTTTGAATTGTTATGGATTAAAGTTTGATGGTCTAAGAGAACTATTCCTGTCCAAGTCCTTTTGAAGTTTAGAACTGTCATAAAAAGCCACTGAAGGAACCTGCGACAACCAAAACAGTCCCTCCTTTGCTGATTAGATCAACACATACTTCAGTTAAATCAGCTCTTTTCCTCTGAACTTTGCATTTCTTCTGGCAATGAAAAAATAAAATTAAGATGTTCTACTGAAAAAATTGGCAGCCATCTCTGTGGGATGGATCACAGCTGTTACACCAACGATCCTTCAGGTCTTCCAGGAAGTGAGATCCTTCATTTCTTCAAATTCCCTATTGCACCAAGTAACCTTTAAAATAGTTCCTGGAACAGAATGAAATAAGTCCTCTTGCATAAGTGAATTTACAAGTCTATGAAAGGCTGGCAAGTGCAGAACTGATAAAGGGGATTTATTTTAACACTACGTGTATTCAAATGTGGGACTTTTGCCTCAAGAAGTTGCGGAAGCCAAGGTTTGAAAATCAAATTCTTTAGAAACCACCCAGAGTCCTACTGATTCCTGCTAGAACTGTTCCTGGGGGGAATGTCAACAGGTAGGAACTGATTCAATAAAGACCAGGAGGAGACCTAGAGAGGGCAGAGCTGTCCACTGCAGGGTTTTAGGATCTCTTCTAAATTATGGGATATCAGAACCCAGCTGGACTTGCTGCATGGTGCTCTTCACCCTGCTAAGGAGTCTTTAGCAACTCAAGATTTCTCTACAGCTGAAGCACTCACCTCTGCCAGCCCTCCTTGGTTAGATACCTAAGAAATGAAACATCTTACCCCAAGGAATTCTCAAAAATTCGTCACTCTCTGAGGATCCATTTCACTGCTGATTTTGGAGGGGGGACAATTTGTGCAGCTTTTCATTCACCTAATTTTGAACATCTGCTGGTTTTATTTCTTTTTCTTTAGTGGGAAGCCACTGGTGTTACCGGTCCCAGAAGTGTGAACAGCCAGAGTGTGAAGGTACAGCTGACCAAGTGATTTTTTTCCAATCACATTTGTGATTATTCCGTTTTGCAAAGGGGCTCTGGAGAGAAATAATGCAAAAATTCCCACAACTCAGCACTTAATGCTTTATGTACACATAAATGCTAAACAGGATACCTGGGGGAGGGTGTTTTGAAGATACCCATGGTTGTGGTAACTGTTGATTTTGTTTCAAAATAACTCCAAATGAGCTCCAGAGGAGATCACCCTGATATTTCCAGTTTCCCAAGCAAGAATATATTGGTTGGGTGGTTTGGCTTTATGAGGGATTTGCTGTCTACAGAAAAAAACTTGGTTCCTTCACCCTGCCACAGATCCTCACCAGTGGTACCTGACAGACGCCGCCTGCAAAGGGGACAGACAGTCCCCCATCAACATTGTCACCAGAAATGTCGTTTATGACAAGAGCCTCAAGCCTCTGACTTTTGAGGGGTATGATGGGAAGGGGTCTTCCAAGTGGAACGTGGAAAATAATGGACATACAGGCAAGTACTGCCAAATATTGTGGGATTTATCTGTGCCTTGCCTTGGAACCAGCCACTCACTCCTTCCATGTCCTGGGTATCCCTGGAGCAAGGAAGCACAGATAGGATATCACCCCTATATTTCAGAAGTGAAACTTTCAGAACACTCTCTAAGCTAAGACTTTCTGGGAATTTTGTGGGAGTTATCAAGTTTTTGGCCCTTGAGCGCCTCAGCAGAAATGGTTCCTATAGATGTGCACAAACAGAGCTGTCCAAGGGAACTTCTAACCCCAACAGCATCTGGGATGAGGATGTGGGTGGGTAGAGGGGTTCAGGACAACCCTTTGGGCAGAGACATATGATTTTCTGCTGAATGCTCCTGAACCCTTCATTTCCGGGCTTGGCCTTTGCAAACTTTGCTTCTGCACAAAGAATTCTGCTGAAGGAAAAACATAACTTGGGATGCTCATTCCACCAGTGGCTCGTGTTGTGTGAGTCCTACTAGTTCTTTAAATAATGAGCTGAAATCTTCTCAGATTTAAACCTGTTCTCTCTGCACACAGAAGGTAACTTGAGTGTTGATCAGCTACTTATTGATTCAGTAAACAGTGAATCAGTGAAAAGTAATTTAGAACTGTTGCACTTCCTCCACCTTTCTTCACTAAGAGCAATTGTAATGATGATGCTTCAACACAATTATGTTCAATTACTTCAGCTTTAAAAATAAACCTGCGGTCTGTTTTATTTTAAATTATCTTCAGGTGTTCTTAAAATCTCAGATGGGTTATTTGAACTGCCAAATCCTTAAAGCAGAAAGCAGCAAGTGGCAAATATCTCCTGACTTAAAAGGGAAGGGTGGGAGGTTTGAACAGTCAGAGATTCTAGTTTAAAACACTGGTATTGTGACAGAGCAGAAGGAAAAGGCAGTGACTTTTCACTGATATGTGGGTTAATGACTCTGCCATTACAGAATGGTGCTCTAGAATGTCCACTTTGCAGTCCCTTTTACACAAAAATTAATATTTATAAGGATTGCTCAGAACTGTCATCTTCCCCAGCCATGCATGAGGATTAGGGGTTTAAAATTTCCTCCTTCTTGGACTAAATGAGTAGAGCACTGGAACAGTTATTGCTTAAATTCCCACTGCAATTAGAAGCTCCAGGTGAGATTAGACCCTCCCTGTGGTTGGTGATGGGCAGATAGCAAGGGTCAGTGTCCCAAAGGTCCCACAAGCTAAATAAACAAAGCCCACAAAGATATGTGACTCATCCATTTACAGATAAAAACGCAAAGGAACTAAGTGACTCATCCAGGTTCATTTGGAATTCAGAACACAAATGAAATCTCTGGGGCTGCAATCCAGAATTTTCCTCTGGGGCTGCAATCCAGAATTCCCCTATGCAGAGAAAAGTGCTGTGTTTAATGTAGAGATCATAATAAGTAAAATTTAAAATTATATGTCAAATGTATCAAGGAAGTGATGGTGATGTCTAGCTAGAAGAATATCTCCTAAGAGCATTTTGTTTTGCTGTTAACAGCAAATCAAACATCACATTAAATAGATATAATGACTTAGATGCTTAGGCTTAAATTGCAGCACTACTCTAAATTAAAACAGAATGTCTTTAAACTCTGCCTAAAAGAAATGTTACAGTGCAGGTAATAGGAGATTAAAACAATGGTTAAACCCAAATAAACTGTGATCAAATTTACTTTCAAGAAAACTTTGATGGAGGGTGTTTTCCTAGACAAAAAAATGAAGGAATAGAGGGTCTTCTGAAAGGTAGAAGCTCTGACTTCTGAGGTCGTAATGGTTATAATTAATTCCAAATTAAACTCATATATTTTGTAAATATTAATAATATTAATAAATAAAAAAATTAAACTATAATTTTGTAAGAGTTCAGTATCTGCAGAGTTGAATTTCTGGAACACTTGGTATGAAAAACCAAGCCAGAACTTTCAGATGAAACCGAATCTCTGCTCTCACATCCTATCAATGCATGATCTGATTTTTGCCCTCAAAACAATTTCCCTTTTTTTTCCCCCCAGTTAAGGTAACACTGGATGCATCCCCGAAAGTTGGAGGTGGAGGTCTGGCAAGAAAATACAAGGCAGTAGAATTCCATTTGCACTGGGGGGTCCCAAGTCTGCAGCAAAGCAGCCCAGGAGTGCAGCAATACATCCCTGGCTCAGAGCACAGCATAGATGGGGAGAAATACGCCATGGAGGTGGGTGAGAATGGTGCTGGGTTATGGATTTTACTCCAGAACTCTGGCTTTTCAAGATGCTGTTCACAAAAACTCTTGGCTGGATCTCTTAGGGAAGTCTGAGAGTGGAAATATGGAAGTGAGGACACTGCTCACTAACCAGAGCCTTGGTTTTTGTGTTACAGCTGCACCTTGTCCACATAAGAGAGGATGTTTCAAACGTAGCAGAAGCCAAGAAATACAAGGATGGTTTGGCTGTGCTGGCCTTCTTTATAAAGGTAGGCAGTCAAATTTTTAACTGTCCATCTCAAATCTACCAGCAATTTGGCTGAGTGACTGTTTGTGTCAATATTGCAGTACACAGGACCTAACCCTCCCTGTCTTCTGCAGGCATTCTGTCAGCACTTAGTTCCTCTACCCTTTTCTACATCCTGCTTGCTGCTGGTTTTTACCCTTGTGGTTCTTTCCTGGTTTAGCCACAATTAAATTCAAAGCAACCTGTGGTTGAGAAATGCACGATTCGGAATCAAAACGTTTCCATTTCAGGTTGACGAGGAAAATAAAAATTATGCAGCTCTTCTAAATGAACTAGAGAGTATTCAATACAAAGGTAAGAAAGACACTTGTGAGGGGGGTTTCACAAGCTGTGCAATGTGGGAGGTGCATGGGGGGATCAGGCTGAAGATAAATGTGGACAAAACCTGCAGCCACAAGTGTTACAGGCAGCATTTCCCTGTGGTTTGTTTAGGGCAGTCAGCACAGATGGATCCTTTGCCACTGAGTTCCCTTCTCCCACCTAAGGAAGAGCTTGGGAGGTACTATCGCTATGAGGGCTCCCTCACCACCCCTGACTGCTTCGAGGGGGTCATCTGGACAATATTTGAGACGCCAATTGAGCTCAGTCTTCCCCAGGTGAGTCACAGGGCAGGGTCTGCTTTGCCCCTCGGGCTGCCTGCCCAGTCCCCCAGCACCACAGCCTGACCAGCTGCTCCCCTGCCCTGTTCCAAACACACACTCACTTGGCATCAGCCTGAATGCAGTCCCCAGTGCCAGCTGATTGACCCTATTAAATCATCCCTGGAAAAATGGCAGGAAAGGGGAAGGAAGGGGAAATGACGATGTGAAAAGAAAGCCAAGAAAACCCCCCAGGTGATTGCCCAGCTCAGCGCCTCGTCAGCACCACTTCCACTGCTGTCACCCGCTCACTCCCAAATTTCATGGCTTTCCTCCCACTGGCAGGAGACCAGAACAGAATAATTCCAAATCCAAACTTTGAGCCTATCAACATCAGCTTTAAGCAGCCCATTTTCGACCTGTAGAGAGGAACAGGAGATTGAATCATGAGTGCCTCGAAAACACGGATTGTCCAGAGGCTGCACGGCCTGGCTGAGGGCCAGCACCTGCATTTTAGCTCCTTGCTCACAGTTTCCTCACAGTTTCCTCACAGTCCCTCAGTCACAGGGCAGGGCTCAGCCAGGCACAGCTCAGCATCACACGGTGCTGTGAGAAATTTGGGGCAGAGACAGAAATCCTGGTGCTCCTACCTTGTGTCACCGTGACGTGGGGGACAAGGATGGGGCCGCGTGCGTCAGGAGGACTGGGGTGACCAGGTTCTTGAGGTGAACAAAGCATTTGGCTCACACAGGGAGGAAGTGCCCCTGATTTCCAAGGCTGGCAGGAGTCATCTGTGGGTGACCTCTGGCAGTGGCCCCTGTCACCGTGTTTCCTGCAAGCTTTAATGCACCCACACAGCTCAAAACCGCGGGTTCGCAACACCGCAATTCCCAGGGGAAAAAAGAAGGTTTAATGATCTATTCTCCCCTTCCCTGCCCACAGCTCTCTCAGTTTGCAGCCCTGCACTTTGATGGGAAGAACTCAACTCACATGATCGAAAATTTCCGGCCCGTCCAGCCCCTGAACCAGCGCAAGGTGTCCTGGTCCAGCGCCAGCATCGTCCTGCCCCCAGCAAAGCTCCTGGTGCTGCTCCTCACACTTACGTACTTCCTGAGCTCTCCTTCCCAGTGAACATTTCTCACCTCATTCAACGTTCTGCTCTTTTTTTTCCTCCTTTTTTTTTTTTTATTCTTGCTGTTGTTGGTTCTTTGTATCAAGCAGCCTCTCTAATTACCAACTCGTGAATCATATCTCAGTACAGAGTGTAGCCTTGTCCTCCTCCAGGCATTAACCAAGGACTGGGGCTGCTCTTACAGAAAATGAAACCTGTTGCACTAAACCACCAGAATCCAAAGGAACTGTGAGATAAAGCTGCGAAGATTCACTTTTAAAATAAACCAAACCAAAACACTTAGAGGAAACATTAGGATGGATTAGGACAGATTATCTGCAAACCTGTAGCTTTAACGCACCACTGGAAGGACACTTGACAAGCTGTACAGAGAACCTTCAAGAGGAATCTGTTCTTAAGTGCCTATGAAGGGGTTTGTTTGGAGTATGTTTACACTCAACACTGCAAACCTGGCAGTCATTCCTATAATCCCACACTGTCCTACCTGAAGGTACAACACAGAGCAGAGGAAAAAAGAGAAAGAGCAACATCTGGGTCACCCCCTCTAGGGAAGGATATGTGACAAACTTCATCTAACACAAACCCCCCACCCCTTCTTCCTCCTGAGGATCTGAATCCATTTTAGCTCAGGATACTGGATTCCTTTCACCTGATCTCCTGATTCTGGCTTTTGGGTTTCTCTTTTATTTATTCATCCCTTCTCTGGGATGCCAGGGCCAATCTGATGTGCCACAGAGAAACAGGGAAGCTCATCCCCGCAGACCAGTGGCACATCTGTGGAAACTCCCTCTCTTTGGAGGGCTGCATTTGAAGCACGGGACTCTGATGATCCTTTATAGTTTTTATCTGCCTAATAAAATGGGACAGCTCAAGAAATGGCTCTTTCTTATATATATATTTCTTATATATATATATAATTTTTAATAATAACATACCTGCAATATTCACATGTGGTAAAGACTCACAATTTTTTCCAAGAAGATTGTGATTTGAACTGACACCTTCAGATCTCACCCAATTCCTTACAGAAAAGATATTGGTGAAAGGGGTTTCTTCATATTATAAGTTGTTACAGCTTCTTTTAGAATTTTAAATTTTGGCCCCACCAAAATAGGATTTCCCATTAGCAGACTTGTATTTTTTTTCTTTAAGGCAGTGTTTGCAGGAATGACTTTATACTACAGTTATATGGCCATTTTCAGGAAAATCCTGGCAGTGAGAGTAACCACAGCTCACCAAAGGAGAAAAAACAGGGGGGGGAACTATTTTCATATTTATCAATCAATAATATAAGCTTTAAAAACACACATGGGAAAGCAAATCCACCTATTTAATGTTTAAAGGAATGATTAATACTTAAAACTGTATTTTTATGTAACTGAAAGACTTTTGAGGAGCAAACATAAACAAAATATTAAAGTTGAAAGAGACCTATATTTGAATTGTTTTGAGTTTTTATTTCTTTCGTCCTTGCTGAAGGGGAATCTACAAACACTCTTTCAGAACAGGAATGTGGCTTTTTTTCTTTCCCCTCCTGTTTTCTTCACAATATTTAGGGTTGGGTTTAGGGCTGGGTTTAGGGTTGGGTTTAGGGTTGGGTTTGCATTTTTGGGGAAGGGGGGCAGAGATTTGCAGTACCTGGGGACATTTCTAATGTCAGCAGGTTTCTGGAGATTTATTTCACATCACCTGGGTGTTCTCTGCACGCAGCAAATTGCTGCTTTGTTTTCATGCTGTTCAACAAGCCACAATAAATGGAATATTCTGAAAGGTTTTGTTGCTGTTTCAAGACCTACCAGGCACCAGGACACACTGAACTCCTGCAGGAGTGGCAGCTCCTGTTTTACAGAGCAGTGATGGGAATGTTCCTCAGGATGCCTCACTGAGAAATGCCTTTTGCACTAATAAAGATGCACAAGAGCTCACCAGCCCTCTCTATTTACTAACTTCTCACTTCATTAAGGATGAGTGGAACAACCCATGGAGGATGTGGGTCAGTTGTCATTTATTGCTGGTGATAAATGATAAATCAAACTGGGGCAGTTTTCACTAGGCTGTGCCTCAGTTTATCATGGAGATAGAGAGAAGCATTTACAGCCATTAATTACAATGGGAGGAACTTATTTACTATGAAATATGTTAAAACAGAACTAAGAGAAAGACAAAAATCTGCTGAGAAGAGGGTTAGTCCTCTCTAAGTCCTCTCCTGCACCAAATAAAACCTGATTAGACCAGTATCACAATTTTACTGAGTGACTCAGTGTTGTGGCAATGAGGAAAAGGGAAATGCTCCAGTCTGTACCTGTGACAGTGACTGAGTTCAGTCTGTCCTGTGGCAGAGTCTCCTCTTTGCACTCAGGTGACACGTTCTGTTCTGGGACAGGGTGTGACAATGGCACGACCAGTTATTGATGCACTGAATAAACACAGACCCACAGCAAAAGCTACTGCATTTAAAATGCAGTAAAAGACAGGAAAGGCTTCAAGTGGGACGTTTGATTTGCCTTTGTGAAGATGGTTATGGAAAAGTAATTTGCTGTTCCACAGGTAGCCTCAGGTGCTGATTGTCAGGAATTTTGTCTGGGCTGTGTTTGGCATGAAACTTCTTATATTGTGAAGACACTAGGAAACGAGAGTAACTCCTGAAGGACAAGTGGCCAAGCCATGATAATACAGGAAAGGGTGGGGGAAGGAACAAAAGGATTTAGAAGGACCCAGAAAGAACATTATTTTCCCACGTACAGAAAAGTTAGCAGAGAACTTCACTGATACATTTCACATCTGTGGGAGCCAGACTTGACGACCGTTTGTCTTCTGGGGCTGAAAACTGGAGCCCAAGAGAAAATGAAACTACACTGGAAATTAAAATTCACTAGAGAGGAAAGTTTGGGGTTTAAAACAGAGACGAGCAGAGGCTCTGTCGATCTGGATCAAGTGGGAGGTAGAGCAGCATTTGGGTTGCAGGAAACCAGATGTATGAAGTGATGGTGCTCAAGAGGGCAAAGACCAAAAGGTTTGGGAGATTATCAAAGTGTGGATGTAGCTTTGCTTACCAGGGCTCTGTCCTTTGGAAGCAGCTTGGACTTTGGTTTAGGGTTGGAACTGCTGCCATGGCAGAGCCCATTCATGCACTGAACAGCAACTGGGGACTCACCAGATCAGCAGATCCTCCCTGTTCCTAAAAACACTCCGAGCTGAGATTACATGGCTTTGTACAACACATCCAAAAAGCTCTTTCCCAGATCAGACCTTGACTTGAGTGCAGCCTCCGGAGGTGTGAGAGGTGAAGGAGCAGCTCTCCCACATGAACACGAGCCCGGCGTCGCTCCTTCGCAAACATCAGGAGCAGGGGGTGACAGGAGGGGCAGGCACCAAAAAAAAAAATTCTTAATACAATATGTTTTCAGCAAAACATTTTCTCAGGAAGCAGAAAGAGACAAGGAAACCAAACCATTACTCACAAGAAATATATTTACATTATCCACAAAGAATTCTGACAAACTCGGCGCCTCCATTGAACAGTCAGCCCCTCCTCTGACAAACACCAGCTCAAAATGCACTTGTCTGTACAAAATTAATTTTCTGTGGCTGCTGGGAGAAGAGGAGAAAGCCTTTTGCTTTGTCCTTTCCTTTGTGGCCCATCCAGAAGTGGATTTCACAGGAAAAACAGCACTTGCCAGCACAGCCAGCAGCCTTCCAGTTAAAAAGATACCACCCAGCAAATCCATGTAAAATATCCATCCAACCACCCGTAGTCAAAAAAAAAAAAAAGGATACAGAGAAGCCTACTGAACTTCCCAGGCTGGTTTTGGAGTTTAACAAATGTGTTAATACCATGTATAACATCAATCCAGAGACAGGGGGATCCATTGCCTGGTGCTGCTCCTTGCCCAGGACATAGAGCCCAGGAGCAAAAATTACACACAAAAATTATAGCTGGACTCGATGATCTTAAAGGTCTTTTCCAACCTAAATGGTTCTATTATTCTATAAACGACTCCATGAAAAATTATTACCTTTGGAGATAGGATGCTTTTTCTGATAGAGTTAAAAGTGGACTTGGTGATTTTCTTCCACCAAGCACTAAAATGAGATGGGATTTAAAAACAATTTAATGACAGAGAAACAAACTACCTGGTAACTCAGAGGCTGCTGTGGAAAACATTGCATATGGGAGAAAATCATATAAATTAAATAAAAAAAAATTGGAGCGGGGGTTTTACTGGTAAATTAATGAGTATCCGTGGAAAAGGCAATAAAACTCCAGTTGGGATGCACTGAAGGGACACAAGCAAGGAAAGGGAAGCCTCCCATCACCCTGAGGGGCTGCTCCCACAGACACAGGGGAGGTGGTGTTAGGGCACATTCCTGAGGGATTCACCCACAAGAAACATCTCAAACCCCCCTTACTCACACCACGTGTCTCGTGCTGCTTACGGAGCCCTGTAGAACATCTGAGGGGATCCAGCCTGAGGGGACTGCACCCGTGGGGAGGCAGCCGGGACTGAGGCATCCTGTGCCCGGGATACTGCTCCACCTGGCACATCTCTGTGCTCCGTGTTTTTCCCGGTGTTATTTCCACGTTTGTTGTGTCCTGAGGGACAAGACGGACTCACCTCCAGAGGCGGCGGGGCCAGGCCGGGCTCTGAGGGGGCCACGGCGGCCATGACAGAGCCGGGCACTGGTGCCAGGCCCTGCCACGGAAACACGAACTGAGGGGGGGAAAAAAAAGCTGGGAAAAAAAAAGCCGGGAAAAAAAAGCCATGAAAAATATGAAAAGAAGGGGAAGGAAAGGCAAAAATTCCCTCTGGGCACAGCAG